CTCCTCCTCCTCCTCCTCCTCCTCCTCTTCCTCCTCCTCCTCCTCCTCGCACGCATATCGTTCCTTGCCTGATTTGTGCATTGGTTCTTGAGGAATCTCGTCCATGATGTATATCCGGACACGATCTGAGGCCACGGCCTTTTTGCGCCTTGCCCAAAAGGGCACGGGCACACCTGTGTGCCCGACTTTGGCGCCTTCGCCTCGCCTCGCCTCGCCTCGTTTTTTTCTCCTCCTCCTCCTCCTCCTCCTCCTCCTCCTCCTCCTCCTCCTCCTCCTCCTCCTCCTCCTCCTCCTCCTCCTCCTCCTGGCTGACAAGGCACACGGCTCGCAGCGAGATTTTGTGATGGGTAGGCGCATCATGGACAATGTTTTGGCCACCGATGTCAACATGTTTCATTGGGGTGCTGTCCTCGGGCATCGGTCGACAGGATCGTGTTTCTTTGACATCCGCGCAGCCTTCCCGTCGATCTGCCACTCTTGGATTTACCTTGTACTACGAGCCTTTAACTTCCCCGAATTCATGATCACCGCTATCCAGTTGCTGTGCTCCAGTCGTAAATGTATGATCTGTTTCCGTGGGTCCCAGAAGCACTCCTTTCTGGCGGTCCGAGGGGTGTAGTAAGGCTATCTGCCATCGGGAGTATTATTCGCGATCTGCCTCGACCCGCTCCTCAGGTTCCGCGATCTTATTCCAGCCTCGTTACCATTCCGGATTTGCGCGTTTGCCGACGACGCAGGCCCCACCTCGGCAGATATTTCTGTCGATCCTGAAGCCGGCTGCGAATGCCATCTGCAAGTTCGGCTACCCGTCTGTTCTCATCCTCAACGTTGGCAGATGCGTCATAGTTATGTACTCCGACCACCAGCTCCAGGACGCTGCTTCCAAGTTTCAAGGCCAATATATTAATGTCTCCAGTCTCAAGATCCAGATGCATGGGGGATCCTTAGGTTTTATGATTGGGACAAAACGGGCCGGGCTTATCCTGGTTGCCTGTCGTCAACACTAAGAAAGGGGCCATCGTGTCAAGCTTCTCGGGCAAGGGCTCACGGCCAGCCTCGTTGCCCACAGCAGGTATGCTTTATCAGTCGCCAGTCACGCCGGGCAATGATATCGACCTGTCAAAGCTGTTGTACATGCTGAGTGGGAGTGTCACCAGCTGTACACTTGCGCCCCGCGGCACGCCTTCCCTCCCAAGGTCATTTGCCGTGTCCGTGCTCTCGGCCTCAGCGCGCAGATTGGCGATCTGCAGACGAGCGCCAGAGCAGCGAAGTTACGCGTTGCGGTTAATTCGAAGCTGTTCCCAGATTTGGTGGGTTAGCTCCAGGTCTCTCTCGAAAATGATGATCATGTCATAACATATCAGAGTACCAGATATCACAGATAATCGCTATTCGTTCACATGTACGAAGAGTTCCAGCATTCCCTTTATACTCCTCGGTTTCCTCCCGATACTCGTCCAAAAACCGTCCAGCAGAAACCACAATGTTTTCCAGGACTCCCACAACTCCCCCATCTCGTCTGTGATTGCACCGATGCTCAGAAAATGGTGCCCCAGTACCACCAACGCGCGGATTTATCGAAGTTCGATGGTCATTCTGAAGGGCGCGGAGTTGGTGCCGAATTTTCTCTTGGTCGCTTTCCTCTAGACGTTGTTCCAAAGGTGAAACACCAGTGCAAAGGTACCGTCAGGGAGCATTGTGTTGCAAGTTCGGCTGTCAGCGTGTTGGCGGAGATGAGATTCTCCATTACGTTTCTTGTCCTGTGGTTGTCCAATCCCTTGTTCGTCTGCTCCACCGCCTGCCTGAACGTTGGCGTCGAGACCCTGGCGCCTCCTGCCTCCCCCACCTTTTCCCTCTCGATCCCCAGGCCCTGGCCAGTGTTAGCTGCCATCGTTTCCTTCCACTCTGCCTTCCAGGCTCTCCGTTTTCGTGCTCACCCCTTCTGCCGTTTAACGCAGAAAACTGTTGTCGGCCGTCTTCGTACAAACATCTGTAGGGAGACGAGGTTTCAAGGCAACCTTAGATAGTCAGTTGTGAGATGGAGCATGTTCTCTCGACGGGTGGGTCTCCTCCACCTCCTCCTCCTCCACCTCCTCCTCCTCTTCCTCCTCCTCCCACTCCTCCTTCCCGCCTCCCTCTTTCTCCTCCTCCTCCTCCTCATCTTCCTCCTTTTCCTCCTCCTCCTCCTCCTCCTTCTCCCCTTCCCCCTTTCCCTCCTCCTCCGCCTCCTCCTCCTCCTCCTCCTCCTCCTCAACCCCTCTTCGTCCTCATTTTCCTCCTCCTCCCTCCCCTCCTCCACCCCCTGCTTTTCGCCGCTTTCTGGCTGGCTCTGGAGCGCACGCGTGGGGCGTTGGTGTAGGCTGCCGATTGCAAGGCTCTCGTTTCTGACCGGCACATCGGCAGGGCCCTTTCCCCTAGGGACCTCCACGGCGACCTCTGGGCGCGGATCGACCTGGCCCTTAAAGATCGCGGCCCCGCCGAGGTCTTGGCCACGTGGGCAGAGCCCCACACGAACGAGGAGCCCACGAGAATCAAGCCCCAGTGGGAAACTTCTCGTTGTCGAGGCAGCGCGTGCGCGTACATGTGGGCGGGGATGGTTGT